CTAAGAATTACAGTACAATATTAACCTGCTTTACGTTATCTTCCAATAACAATAAACCACAACACACTTGTTTTTAGATAAATAACCCTTTAAAAGTGTTGCACCCACAGATGTTAGAATAGCCTTTGGGATATGTGAATTCAAAAGGCCCAATATATAAATCCAAGGTGCTCTAAAAGGTGATGAATTTTAATCACCAGCAACTGGGTAGGATATTGGCAGATATTATGATTTGAGCAATAGAATGAACAAATACCCTTGCATATTAAATCTACTGAAAGAAGATATGTGCACTTACAACTTCCAGTCTAGTCCTTTTGAGGATGCTAGGAGAGGATGCTCATCCTTTGAAATATCTCTAAACTTATTAATAAAAAAGAGATGCTACACCATATCAGCGTTATGGGTCTATAGTACATAGTATGCGTCTATAATATACGTTTGGAGCGGTGTGAAAACCGCAAAAACATATTTGTGAAAATTCTTGTGGATAAAACACACCGATTTGCTTTGGTAGTCTTCATGACCCCTTATATTTCCATCTCCGCCCCTTATATTTCCATCTCCACAAAACATCCCAGTCAGCAAGTTTTTAATTGTGGAATTATTGGTGGTAAGTGAATACTAGCCAGATATATATTTTGTGTCCTTCCACCAGAAATTCTCCCCTGGCCATTTTGAAAAGCTCCTATTGTTTGCACAATAGCAATATCGACAGATTATAAACATTTGTAGAGAATAAAATGTAGGGCATCCAATCCAGGAAGAAAAACAACATCATGGGAGTCAGGTGACCAATCATATGAATAACCAACCCTGAATCTATTGTGCTAACTCTTCTCTTAAATGTAAACTCCTTTAGGCAGGGACTGTATTTGCTATATGTTTGTACAGCGCCTGGCACAGTAGGGCCCTGTCCCCTAAGACACTACCACAATACAAATAACAATAACAATATGTGTACCGATCAACAAACTATTCGCTCACACAAACTACTCACTGGACAATAGTTAATAACGAACAAATTCCTAGACTAAGGCCAGAAGGGACCATCATGACCACCTAGTCTGACCTCTTGCACATCACAGTAACAACTAGTTTGTAAATAAACGGTGAATAGAGAACCAGCATCAATTAGGTGGATACATTATTAGCAATTAATAATTCCACCAGCTCTGCTGAGGTGAAATGTGGCCCCTGAAATCTGAGGTTAGAGAAAAAGATGGGATATAAGAACATAAGAATGGCCATACTGGGTCAGACCAAAGGTCCATCTAGCCCAGTATCCTGTCTTCCAACAGTGGCCAATGCCAGGTGCTTCAGAGGAATGAATTGAACAGGAAATCATCAAATGATCCATTCCCTGTTGCTCATTCCCAGCTTCTGGCAAACAGAGGCTAGGGACACCATTTTGGCTAATAGTCATTGATGAACCTATCCTCCATTAATTTATCTAGTTCTTTTTTGAACCCTGTTATAGTCTTGGCCTTCACAACATCCTCTGGCAAAGAGTTCCACAGGTTGACTGTGCGTTGTGTGAAGAAATACTTCCTTTTGTTTGTATAAACTCTCACGTTCCAGGGCATAACCAACCATTAACTTGACGGGAAGGGGGGGAAGGGTTAGGAACAAATTTCCCATGTGATCTGCTTATTCCAAATTGTCCACTACAGGGTTTGTTTTTCTTGTTGTTTTGCACCACCTTCTGAGACAGCATACTGGCCTCATTGGACAAGAGGTCTGAACTAGATCAGGATGAGTAACAGATTTTTGGTTAATTGGCAGTTTCAAAAAATCTAAAAAAAAAAAATCATTTTGGGTTGGACTAACATTTTGTTTTGATAAAATCAAAATGTTTTGTTTGGATTCTGACCACTTTTAAATGCCACTGAATTTTTAGAAACAAAACAAAATATAAATAAAAAGTAATTTCAATCTGAATTTTTTTGTTAAACTATTTTTTTGGTACTTTTCCCTAAAAGAAAAATTCAGTGAAATGGTCATCAATTAACAAAACGTTTCAATGTTGCCAAATCTGCGTTTTGTGCTGGAAAAAGATTTGGCCAATTTTTTTTTGTCCAGCTCTCATCTGAACCAGTATAGCAATTTCTATGTTCCCAGATATATGGGATTGATAAACATTGCACCCTAGGGCCTCAATGCAATAAATCTGATGCTGTACTGTCAAAGCAGCACAAATAATTTTTCACGGCCTACCATCTGTTCCCTCACTACTCCCAAAGTCTGCAGTGCTGGGTTTCAGCGAGAGGGCCTTCTTGCTTGCAGAGCTGCCAAAGATACACATGATGCTGGAGCAAAATAGTGCAGGACTAGAGAAAGATGGGGATTTTGTTCCCTCTGGTTTGGGCATTCATTTCATATCAACCACAGCAAAAACAAAGGCATCAGTACTGAGGGAAGTATATGACCTCACCACTTCTCTACAAAGGCCAGAAAGACTCAATGAAATGATCATTCTTCACTTTACCCCATGAAAAGCAGTGTTGGGAAATACCACAGTGAGAAGCGACCTGACCTGAAGCCCGTTTCTGAACACCCAGACTGGAATCTGAATTTTCAAATGGCTCCTAGTTTTATAGCAGGCTGAAACAGACCCCTCAGATGCAAACTCTCCAGAACTTCGGGGAGTTTGAAGGTTGGATCGGAGACTGAATTTTGAGCCTGATTCAAAACCGTTCCATTCGCATTTAACCAAATTTTTTATTTCTTTCATTGGGTTTTTTTGGCTTTTTTAGCTGGCATTTAGTGACCTGACGCCACTGAGCCCTAGGTCTGGTAGAAATGAGATCCTATAATCAGAGTTCTCCTTCCTTTATTTACTCTCTTCCCCCCCCCCCCATCACAACATCCCTATGCCCCAACCTTGGTGAAGTGCTGGAAGTACTCACATTTGGAGTGTCTGTCACAAAGGGCAGATGCCCGCATGTCACATAGCCTTATTGTCCCTTTGCTGCTACTGTACACAAAGGTGTTGCAGTGGTGTGGATGGAATTCTGCCGCAGTGATCACCTCCGTTAGCTCCTCCATGTTGGCTGGCTTTATATCTACGATATCTGAAACAGGCAAGTCAAGGAAAAACGAACAGCAGGAGCCAGTGCTGTCAACATGCAGCCCCGGTGGTTATTAATCACTTCTGGCTTTCTTTATTATGCATTGTTTAACTGGGGCACTTTGTTTTTGACAGTGAGTATGAAGACAGGGTTCAAATCTCTGATGTTTTAATCCTGAGTGATAAAGTTCTGCACCAGGAACTCTCAGCAAAGCCTTGTATTCTAGCTCTAGAAGGGATTTTCTGTTCTCTTTCTCTGTATTTCTGAATGGCTGTAGTTCCATGTTAGATCATATGTAAATAAGCAGCACTTGGGCGCTATGCTAATATGCACGTCATCATCTGAGGATCTCAATGGCATCATTATCCATTTTACAGATGGGAAAACTGAGGATCAGAAGCAAAGTGACTTGCATAAGGCCTCACAGTGAGTGCCAGGTCTACAGTAATCTGTCTACAGCAGTGGTTCTCAACCAGGGGTACGCACACCCCTGGGGGTACACAGAGGTTTTCCGAAGGGTACATCAACTCATCTAGATATTTGCCTTTTTACAACAGGCTACATAAAAAGCACTAGTGGAGTCAGTACAAACTAAAATTTCATACAGACAATGACATGTTTATACTGCTCTATATACTATACACTGAAATGCAATTTTTCAGTAATAGTGTGCTATGACACTTTTGTATTTTTATGTCTGATTTTGTAAGCAAGTAGTTTTTAAGTGAGGTGAAACTTGGGGGAAACTCAAGACAAATCAGAGTCCTGAAAGGGGTACAGTAATCTGGAAAGGTTGAGAGCCACTAGTCTACAATATTGATCTAACCAGTAAAACATATTCCCTCTCTCTAAGCAGATTCAGCCAGGCAAGTAGTACCTTGGCTGCTTTGATCACTACAGTTACTTCCTTATTTCTTTACCACTTGGCAAAAATTTTCTTTTAGCATATGTTTGTTCTGTACTGTATTGTACCACATATTGTACCTGCTCATGGCCTTAGAATTTAAGCTGTTTAGGGCCAGGACAATATTTGCCCAAAACATTTTAGCACTATGTACCCTTGATGGTGTGTATAAATTACATAACAATAAGGGATCAAGAATACCAGTACATACATTCCCACTCCTCTTACACATATTCAGAATGTAGTGAGATACTGCTTCCCAAAAGAACTGTTCTCAAGAGACACATGCTGTTACTGGGAATAAAACAGATCAAGAACTAATGTCTGGATTTTCAAAATAGCCTAAAGGAGTTAGATGCCCAAATCCCTTTGCATTCAATGCAAGTTAGACATCTCACTCCCTTCGACTCCTTTAAAAATCTCAGCTTATGTTAACTGTCTTTAGCGTGAATCTGGCTTTAACTGACATTGCTCTTCACTTCTCACCATTCAAATGAGGTCAATGTGAACACGCAGACTGAAAGAAACTAATGCACTAAAGAGAAATCCCATCTTTTGTTACATTATCTATTTACCTAGAGACTGTAGCTGCTTGTAACACACACTGTAGTGCCCTCTTTGTTCAAAAAAACTGCAAGATTCGACTTTGGCAAATTTGTCATGGGGCAGAATAAACAGCTCTTATTACAGTTGCTAGAAAAAGAAAATAACCCCAATTGATGCAACAATGCAAGAAAAACAAAACATGACGAACAGAAAACGATTGCTGTAACAGGAAGATTTTTCATCTCAAGAAGGTTCTGCAAGTTTAGACTCAGTAAAATCCTGGACTAAAATTAAATCATCCTGACATTCAAGTTGAGCTTGAAATATTTGTAGTCAGACACACCAGATGGAGGGAGTCAGAAAGGAACCACGTCAATCACAAAGAGCCTCCTAGTGGTACAGATGAGCCTTTGATGATTGTCTCTATCAATCCGGCCCTGACACTGACTTAGTGGTCACTGGTGGCAAGCAGCTTTAGATTTCACAGTCCAATCAAAATACCCAGCATGGGACAATTTACTGACTGTGCAGGGGGAGAGGGGGATTGCACCATTACTTTCATCACCCCATGGAAAGCAAATTAAGGTCCTGCTGTTAACAGCAATTTCCAGAGAGAGGGAGAGGGGGAAAAATAAAAAAAACAGATGTGAACTTCACAGGCCTGTGGGGATTGCATGAAAACCTGACTGTAAGAAAAGTCCTTTCCTCAGTGCAGCATGGTGGGTGGGAGGGTTTCAAGAGAGGACATTTTTCCCTTTGGGGAAAAAAATGGGTGAATGTAGTGCTCAGAGACAGGAAGGGCCAACAGCACTGGCTATAACCAGGTATATATCAGTCAGGTACTCTGCCATCCATCCTCAGCTCTGCCAATGCCCTTCAGTACTAATCTGTAATACTTCTGCTGTTAGACTCTTGGAATGAAGGATGGTTATGAGGTTAAAGTACAAACTAGGAATCAAGAGAAATCTCAGCTCAGCTACAGATTTCCTGTGTTACTATTATTTGCGTTTCAATAGAATGGGGATGTCACCTTCTCTCTCCGTGACTCAGTCTCCTCCTCTGTGAAATCAGAATACTTTGCTCTTTGTCAACTACTTTTCATGTACAAAATGCTTTATATGAATGCAAATATTAGTATTTCCACTGTACAGATGGGGCAGCTGAGACAGAGAGAGGCAAACTGACTTGCACATGGTCATGCTGCAGTTCAGTGGCAGAACTGAAACTATAACACCAGCCAGTGCCCTATACCCTGGATTGCACATACTTAGCGTCCTCACTGACTGCAGTGAGGTTAGATTTCTTAACGCTTGTGAAGCACCACGATAGTCCAAGATGAAAAGTGATATAGAAATACATGGTACAGATGCTCCCCGAGTTACGTAAACCCAATGGACGCAAATCCGAGTTTACGGAAAAAGTTCCGTAAGCTAGAAATAGGAGGTTTTATTTATTATTATTTTTTGCGCGTAATGGTCAGAGATACATTTCCGACTTATGCAAACTTTGGGTTACGCAAGGCGTTCCGGAACGGAATGCTTGCATAAGTCAGGAAGTGTCTGTATTATCATATTTCTAAACCCTCTCGCAGCTTTGCCAAAATCCTTCAATTCTGATCTTCAACAACCCTTGCTATTACAGCCCTGGTCCCTGCTAAGCAGTGCCTTCGAATCATGTCAAATTGCACAGTGGCTTTGTGATGTACACAAAATCAGAACTGGAATGAGACACACATACCCCCTTCCAAACTCATTTTCACTTATGGCTTAAGTAGGATTTGAGCTTAGGTCTCTAGTGGTGAAAAGCTAGCTTGTTAATCCTGTGCATGCTGTTATCTCCAGGGATTTTTAGACCTTATTAAACTGCACTGTACTTTGTGGAATGGGACATGGTGAATCACTAAGTCTGCTTTTTTAAACTAACTAAACAATTTCTCTGTTTTTTTAAGAATATACAGCGACTGAGTTTTGAGACTAGCAGTTGTTGGAGCAGCTCCAAAAACAATTGTTATTGAGAGGCCCGCAGCGTTAAAATCTAATTTAAAATGCTGAGGGCCCAATTGAAGTCAATGGGGTTGTGTCAGTAACTGAGAGAAGAGTTTGGCCCTGGAAATCTGCTGGCAAACTAAACTTTGCAGAGTAGTGTAATGGAATGAGGGGCCTAGCATACCCAACAAAGCTCTCAGATTGCTCCAGATCAAATGGAAAACCCAATACTGGGTTGCCAGAACGCATCACAGGGTTTGGGGGCAGGGGTCTGGTTGGGTTGAGCTCCTTGCTCAGGGCGTTCCAACCTGGGGTGTAACTTATGGACTCCTGCAGGGGAGGCATTGGGTCTGGGGATAGCTCTAGGTTGCAACAGGCCATCAAAGTTTACAAATGGATCCTGATCCCAGGAAGGTTGAGAACCACTGCTCTAGGGGGCTAACTTTAGACAAGTAAAAAGCCAACCCCATGAGTTATGTAAAAGATAAAAATAAAAGCAGTTTAAAAGCCAGTTCCAAGACTGTGCAGACTCCACGACAGTAATGCATGATTGCAAACTGAGGAAACAAGGAGATGTCAATAGCACTCCATAATCTACTAGTCGCCCATTGACATTATTTTCTCACACAATAATGACTGTTTGATTAAATGGAAGTTGTTGTGAAAAATCTGTTTTCATTGACATTTGGGTGGAGAGGGAGGTAGAAGAACTGAAATCTGGAAATTTTTTGTTTTCCAGTGAAAACCTGAAATATTTTGATGAAAACTAAAACTTTTTGATTTTATTGAGGGGAAAATACAGGGGAAAATAATAATTTCCCAACCAACCCTACAATTTACTAAATTATTATCTTTTCCTTTCTTTAGGAGTAAAACCCCAAAATCTTTATTCACCCAATCCAAAAGTGCTGCTGGTTTGTCTCATCTCACCACATGACTCCTTGCTGTAACCTGTAAGATTATTCCCACCACCTCTCTTCTTCATGAAACCTCTGCATAGTTTTCCCAGATGGTGATAGAAATCTTGTTCCAAAGGCAACGGCTTTATCTCCATTTCTTTCTCAGGGTACGTCTATACTTATCTCCGGGTCCGGCGGTAAGCAATCGATCTTCTGGGATCGATTTATCGCGTCTTGTCTAGACGCGATAAATCGATCCCGGAAGTGCTTGCCGTCGACGCCGGTACTCCTGCTCCGCGAGAGGAGTACGCGGAGTCGACGGGGGAGCCTGCCTGCCGCGTGTGGACCCGCGGTAAGTTCGAACTAAGATAGTTCGACTTCAGCTACGTGAATAACGTAGCTGAAGTTGCGTATCTTAGTTCGAAGTGGGGGGTTAGTGTGGACCAGCCCTCAGAGTGGATGACCACAGCTAAGCAGGCTATCCTCAGTGTGGGAGGCCTGAGTTTCTGAGGAGTCTTTTGCTTTGGCCAGTGCCTCTCAAGGAGGCCTTATAGATGAGGTGCTTTGGGCTTGGAGAGGTGGTCATGAGTATCACTTGCTAGGTGTCCAATGGAGTTTTGCTCAATAGTCTGTGAAGCCATGAAAGAACGCACCTCCCTGCCCTAAAGGCCCAAGAAGGACGAAGGATATTAAAGGAAAACTCTACTCATTTTCCAGAGCTCAAGTATCAGGCATGCCCAGGATATATAGAGCCCACAGCATCATTTTTACAAAGCCACTTTCTTGACTACAAGTGCCCTTCAAAGATAGGTTTCAAAAGATATCAGTGATCTGTGCGCTAAAGACTATATGAAATTAGAGGACGGCGCGTTCACCAGGAAAAAAAACATTGTGGAATGAATAAATGTGGGATCCTTAAGACCGTCTTACCAGCTTTCAATTAGCGTTCAAGAATGGGAAGGGAAAACCCCAGGCATGCTCATATATCTGAGTGGGGTATCCCTATCACCAAAACCAAACAATAAAATGAAAAAACCCAACTGCAAAAATTTATACTTTTTTCCTAAATAAAGAATCATTGTAACTGCTCTTCTCCACCCTTCTTGGAGTGTCAGCTCCATGACTAAGCACTGCCCCTGGAGCTGACTTCAGAAATAAGGATTTGTAGCATCCAAAGCACTGTGATCAGGAAGAATTCTAGGAAGCCGCTTTCAGGGGATGGGATGTGTCACATGCTGCCATGTTGTACTAATGACTCACTGACATCTCAGAAGGACTGCTTCACTTATGAAATGCCAGTTCAGCACAGATCAGTGAATGCAATCCCCCTGGCAGAATGTATGGGAATTCAGCACAGAACAACAAGTCTCCTGCTAAAGTCCTGCCCGCAAATTTCCCAGGGAACTTCTTCTGGATGGATCAGAGACCTGTGGGTAGTTAAGAGAATTAACAGATCAACTGCAACAAGAAAGATGGGATAATGGTAGAGAAGAGAGCAAGGCATCCACACTGCCAACCAAACAGCCACCTGCGTTATCCAAATTTCTTTGGCTCTTCACAGCTGTGAACAGAAGCAATGATCTCTGGATATGACTAACCTTCCCCTTGCTGGTCTGAACTGCTGCTTCTATGATAGAGCCATAACCCTATAGACTGGGATCCAGTCAGACTTATTAAGCTAAGCAGAATGCCAAGGAGAACTCGGGTGGCTGCAAGAATTATTAGTGGTGATACATCAAGGGGCACTCTTTTCTCTTGGTCAGGACTGTACCAATACCCCAGCATGGTGCTAAGGAGCAATTTGCTGCTGGAGATACCTTGTTTGAATGAGATGTACCACTGAGTTCCTGGTGAGTTGTGTCAATTAAAATTCTCCTGGCACTTTAGGAACAGTAGAGGATCAGCACTGGTATCTTGGCTAAATTTGGCTGGGACAACTACATTCTGTCCATCTGAATTCTCTGTAGTTTCGTCTGAATATGGCACTTGGCACTTTCTGTTCTAAACCATAATATACAGTTGCCGCAAGCAGTTCAAACACAAGCACTTTCCACCCCAGAGTGGCTGAATTTCAGTGATTGCCAAAATGATCCCCAGCTGGTAAAGTTTGCTGTGTGCTCTGGGGATTTCTCAGTGGAAAGCACTATACAAGTATCAGTGATTATCATCATCCCTGTTGTTATTATTTCTGATGTGGCTGTTATAGGGGTGACTGGCACGGTCTCATTTGTATGTCTGCAACTGGCAACCTGTCACACACTACAGTTTATAATGAAAACTACACTATTAATATTTCCTCTCCTTATTTCCCCCAAGGCATCTGTCTTCTAAATCACCTTAGGAAACTCCCCTCCCCCACTTACACCCTGCAGGCAAAATTCAACATGTCACCCAAACTGGAAAGCAGCAGCTTGTAATGATGCCCAGCTGAGCGGTGTTCAATCTTATGGCTCTTGGAATCAGACAAAACAGCATAGTGGTTAACAAAAAAAAAAAAAAGAGGAGAGAGATTGAGACCTTCTCAGTGCCAGCTGCTATGGTAACATTTTGCATCCACAGCAAGAGCAACAGAAATAAAAAGAAAAAGGAGGTCTTGGCACTTACATTTACACACTGTCCAGACTGACACACACGAATTATAACCATAACACAGCACCAATAATAGCTGGTATTTAGGTAGCACCTTTTATCTGAGGATCTCAGAGCACTTTACAGACATTGAAAACCAATAATGGCCTCCCAACACTTAGGGCAGGGCTATACTTAAAAAGCTGCAGTGGCACAGCTGTAGTGCTTCACTGAAGATGGCACTACACCCACGGAAGAACTTCTCCTGTCAGCCTAGTTAATCCACCTCTGCAAGAGGCAGTGGCTAAGTTGACAGAAGAGGCCCTCCCATCACCACAGCACTATCTACACCAGATGTTAGGTCAGTATAACTCTTTCACTCAGGGGTGCGCATTTTTCACACCTAGAAGCAACATAGGTATACCAACGTAAGTTTGTAGTGTAGACCTGGCCTGAGTAAACTCTGCACCCACTCACACATGTGGGACCAGATGGGTGTATCAATAAAGAAGCTGCATTATCTTCTCTTACCACTAGAGCTGATGCATACTAGCACAGGTCACCGAGTGAGAGAAGCTGGCACTACTGCTTTCCTGCCAGTAGACAAAGCTGTCAACCCTCTCTGAGGAGTGGACATTGTCCAGGGTTCTCTGCTTGGTGTCCCTTTCTGGATCCCTTGCTTTGACCCTGTGACCTGGACCCCCGTCCCTGCTTTTCATTTGTTTTCCCTTGTGATCTGATGACGCCTGGGTTGTGGCTCTGACCTCACCTGAGGGGTCGGCCTTCCATTGCTTTGGTGAGCTCCCCTCTCTCCTCTCCCCCACATATCAGATAGTTATCAGATAGGCCACCCCTTTTTACTCTGGGGCTCTCTGCTCAGTGTTCAGCATTTCTGTCCCCACTCCTGGCCTTACCCCCTTTGTTTACTTTCTCCCCCTTAATTGTCCTCTGTATCTTTGTGGCCCCTTCCCTCTCCCCATGAGGGAAATGCCATTGTACTTTCAGGGTCCCCTACAGAGGTCAAGTAGGTTCACCCTTTTCACCAGTACTAAATTCACATCAGAAAAACAACAGCAGCTGCTTTCATGTCATGTCTAAGCCAGAGAACCAGACTGACCCTACACTAGTGTGAAATACAGACAAACCTTGGATGCACATATTGTATAGGGCCAAGCCTGGAGGTCCTCGCTCAGTTTATACGTGGATAGAATTCCCACAGAAGCAAGGAACGAGGCTGCCTTTGGAATTCTCTCTCCTTGGAGGAGTCTCAGACTACAAGTCTAGCAACGCTCGTGATACATTGCAAGATACGTGTATTCCATTTAACTGTTCATGAACAGTTTGTTGTGGTCCTGCTTTACACTTTAATCTCTGTATGAAAAAAAACCTACCGACGTAGGGTAACTGAATGGGGTAATCTGCAGTAATAAAAACAGAATTAAAATTATTATTATTATTAACATCCTGTTGTAAAGCAAATCAGAATGGGCTAAATCCTGAAGACCTCGCTCAGTTCTTATTCAATCCTTCCTTAGGCAAAACTTCCATGGGCTTCATTGGAAATTTTGCCTGAATAAGGAATGAATAAAACCTGCATAAGGAACTCAGCATCTGACTGACTGTGTATACACAATCATGCACAAATAACAAGATATTTGTCTAATGGTTAAATAAGAGAAAACCTAATTCAAATATAAGAAGGATTTGTAGACAATGAAAAAGAAATCCTCCAAAAGATGTAAACTCAAGGTTCAGATGAGCTCATTCGTCTAACGTCTGGGTTCTACAAGAACCTCTCCTGATTGGACAATAACTCCAGCCGGATTTATGAATCAAAGGATACTAAAACTTTGATTGGTTATTTCAAAGTTCCATAAGTTTATCCTCAGGTCGTCAGCTGACATGTAGGTTTCATAGTCACTGTTTACAGATATGGAGTTGATGTGATATGTGTGCGCATTGGCAAATACTCTTCGGGGAGTGGCCTCCACCATTAGATCCATGGGCCTTAGTACAGGGACCTGGCAACAGAAGGAACAAAAGCAAGGCGTTAGGAGAACAAAATAGTTTCAGCATTAAAAGCGATCTCATTGCAACTTCCAGATCAGTACACTCAGCTAATATTCAAAAAATCTCACCTACAGCTGAGTTAATCCAGGGCAACGTACATTTTATGGGGAGACCGGATTGTTCAGTGACATGAATTAGTTTTTGCCTCTAGGCTGATTTTTGCCTCTAGAAATGAATCTGATCTAGATCAGGGCTGTCTGATAGTTCCCATCTGATGATTGTTTGGTGGTCTCAGTCCAGTTCTTAGTGGACAATTGTGTGCATCACATAAACCACCAATTCAACAGGCACTAACTGGCACTCTTGTGTTATCTTTAGTCCCCATGGATTTAATCCTGCCCTTTTCACGAACACAAATTCATTTAAGCCCCTCGTCCCTCACAATTTTATACATTAATATATGCAATAGAAAGACTGAACAGTAGGAAAAACAGATGTAGAAATCCCTTATATTTGGAGGCAAGGTATTGTTAGGTTTGGGCAGAGCACTGAAAGTCAGGTACCCTTGAGTTCTAATCCCCACTCTGGCAATGATTCCCTCTTTGGCCTTAGTCAAGTTATTTAACCTTTCTGCCTCAGTTTCCCCATTTGAAAAATTGAGATTTAATACTTACTAATTAACAGGGTCATTGTGATGATTAATTAATGTTTTGAACACCAAAGGTCTAGCATAACTGCTACTTTTTTTTTTTTTTTTATTAAAGAAAATTGTATCTACGTACAGTACTCGGAACTGCACATTAAGGCCCCAATCCTGCTATCAAATCCACATGGATGGACTCCTGCCCTGCAGTTCTGTGCTGGCACAGGGGCCCATCTGTATAGACGTGTTTGCAGGCTCAGAGCTCCCAATATTAACATTTTCTTCCAAACTACTGCTAGATTGCTGCTAAAGCCAAGCACTTATTCTTATTGCAAAATGCAAATACACAGAAAGGCAAAAAATAAAGAAAGTCACTGTAGATATTTTTGTTATTGGTTGACAAAACCTTCCCTTCCTCCAATCAGCAATTCCTTTATTCTTTGTTATTAAAATTTAATATTTTTAATATTTTTTATTAAAGGAAACCCATGTCAGCATAGATTCCTGCCCCTCTCCCCACTCTATGGTAAAATAATGGAACTGGGAGATGGGAAGAGAGAGGAAAATAGAAAAAACATTGGAGCAGATGGGGAAAAAACTAACTGATCTACTTTTCCTTATATGTTTATTAACCATAACCCACGTAAGCCATCAATGGATGAATAGATACAGTCAAAAACTGTGTACGCAAAGAAGTACATAAGTAATATATTTAGACATAACACTCTTAAGGCAACTTAATACAATAGAAAGGTGTCAGTCTATGCTTCCTTTTGCCAATAACCCATTCCCTCAAGCTACTTCATTACTGTGTGTATTATCTGTATGCTGCCCAAAGAGATTTCCCATGGCTGCTGAGGTGGGGATAGGGGTATGACAGCCAGGATCAAGTGACACTAGAACATAGGAACTGCCAGCTCAGAGCCTGAGCTTAATGTGATGAGCCTGCTTTCTAATTCAGCCTGACATATTCAATGATGCATCATTTGCTGTTGAAGGACTTTGCTCAGCCATCTGGGGACATAGTCTAGCATTTTGCCCAGAGACTGCAGGAAGCAGGCTGTCATTCAGACTGTCAGAAACATGATGGTTTGCAAAGGTACAGAGTTCAACTGTTACACCAGACTTCTCTGGAAACAAAAGTAAATAAATAAATAAAAGGCTTTGGCATAAGATTTCACTCAACACAACACTGATATGCAGTACAGCCACGTCTTGACTGTCATGCCACCCGCCCAAGCCACACACGTGTTCCTATCCCCAAGCCTGCAGTAATCACTGCAATACCAGCGTTGGTAGGTATAGGTCTATTTTATATCGCAGCTTTTTGCAAAGAAATCAGTTTTCTTGCACCCCGAGAGTGAAGTTAACAGTATCCTCAGCTAATGAACATCTCAGTTTTCTAGTACAGAGCCAAATTCAGTTTTTACTCAGGGTATGTCTACACTAAAAAAAAACCCGTAAGTCGACCTATATTACAGCCACTGCAGTACTTACTGTGGTGGTGCACGTCCACACTACCCTCCTTGGGTTGGTGATGCGTGTCCTCATCAGGAGCGCTTCCACTGACCTAAGAGGGGCAGTGTGGGGAGCTGAGAGCCTGTTCTCTCAGCTCTGCTGGTAGCTCCCTGCTGGGAGCCTGGCTGCCTCACAGGCTCCTGGGAAGCTGCTCCCCACCCCTCAGCTCCCCATTCCCCAGTGGGAGCGGGGGCGGGGGGGAGGGAGACCCGCCCAGGGCTTCTCGCCTCCCTATTTCCTGCTGGGAGTGGGGGGAAAGCAGCCTGGGGCTTCTTGACACTGGGGAGCGGGTTCCAGCCATCTGGGCTCCTTGCCCTGGCTCCCAGTTGGGAGTGGAGTCCAGCCACCCTGGCTCCCAGCCAGGAGCAGGGTCCAGCCACCCGGGCTCCTTGCCCCGGCTCCCAGCCAGAAGTCCAGCTGCACAGCTCTCCAGGGGCACAGGGGGCAGCTGGGCTCTAGCTACCTGGCTTTCTTGTCAATTTCACGTCTCTGCTGGAGCCGTGAAATTAACAAGAGCGCTAACAACTGATGCAAGTAATAGTGTCTACACAGACACTGCATCGCCTCAACTACACCAACATAAGCCCTACGCCTCTCGTGGAGGTGGAGATATGTCGTCAGTGTGGTAGGGCACTTACATCTTCAGGAGTAAGGTTGTAGTGTAGACACTGACATAATTAGGTCAACGTAAGCTGCTTCATGTCGACCTATGTAGTGTAGACCTTCAGCAGGCTGTTGTCAAGGTCTTGGTGTACCGTAGTGACTATTACATTTTGTGTAAGGGATACAAGATCTGACAGACAGGATGAAGGCAGTTTTTTCAGCTGTTACAACTGCAAGAATCTGCATCTGAACAGGCAAAGGTGTAACTGCCCATGCACATGCCATTCGAACACACAGTTACTTGGCTTGTAGGTGCAATTGTAGGCTTCTGCTTGAGGTGAGCCAGCACTGGAACCTTGAATTTGATCCTCTTCCAAATCTGGTGTAGGATTTGGCTCCCTGAACTCGAGCCCACCCATAAGGTTTTGGTTTGCAGAAAGAGCTAAACCCCATTCAGGATGTTGATGGAGAACAGCTGGCAAGCTTCGCGAGCTGAATGATCTGAAACTGAACCTAACCCTGATTCGATCTCAAATCTACTTCCCAGCCTGGTCCTAATCTGGAGCTGGATCCAAACACGGTCTCCCTGGCCATGTCTAGTTTCTGGAGGCAAAGATGGTACATGTGAATATTTCAGGGTGCTTAGTTGTGTCTGCCATTGAAAATCTCACCCATAGTTTTTGGGCTCACTGAGCCAGGGCTTTAGCTGGCATAGGGGAGTTCCCAGTGGACAATGAGGCTGCATAGCTTCCGTCCCCACAGCTACTGGCATAGGTAGTATGTCAACTGTGGGAGGGAAGTGGCTGGAGTTTATTGCACTCCTGCTATCCCCAAATGGAATATGGGCCATATGGGACTATTGCCAGCTGGCACATGTTATAATGGCCCCCAGGCTATTCTACCCTGGGATGATGCAGAGAATCAAGGAATTGTAACTGGTTGTTGGTTCTCAACCTCTCCTTTTATAGTCTCCTGGGCTACTCTAGGTTACTACATTGGGGGAAGGGAGCCACCCTTTGCATACCGCTCCTTTAGGCGCAGACACAGCTGAAGTGCTATTCTGCTCTCCTTGGGGTTCCCACAACCCGAGAATGGAGCTACCAGATCTACGCTCTCCTCCCTCCTCTGCAATGCAGCACGCAAGCAAAGGAAGTGGTGTTCTTGGGGTACCAGAAGCAGCAGTGGGAGGTGATGGCTATACTGCTTCTTCATAGCAACAGAGCTGATTCAAGTACTTCAGCTAAAAATATCACACAGGGCATGGATGTGGGAATGGACTTTCAATTTAGAATCAAATCCACATTTTCTTCTTAATACACTGTCCTTAAGGGCCACTGGTTTGACATCAGTGCTCTAGATGGTGGTACTTAGAAGGCAGTGAGAGAGAGAGCCTCCTCAGAAGAGCAACACAAGCATTCATTATAGCTTATGAACATTTAAATATTTTGCACAAATGACAAAGAAAAGAAATGTGTGCAAGTGTGCATGTATCAACAGCAAACTGTCCTATCTTTCTTCTCAATTGGAATGCTCAGAATGTCAGCACTGCAACCCCTAGACTTGGAATTTGCATCCGAAGACATTTTGCACAATGAAATGGTGAATTTTCTCTTTCCATCATCATTTGTGTTCAAATATTTATTTGAAAATAAAGTCTGTAAGCCCTTTGTTATCAATGGAGATAAAGCAAAGAAAAGGGATTCTTGGATTTTTCAAAAGTGGAAGTGGGCTGTTTGTTTTAGCGAGGAAGCAGGTGCAGAATCGAAGTCATTTGATTTGGGGAGTCCTAGGAAAAATAATAGCAAACCACTAACCAAAGAATCACAGATGGAAAAGATCTTCTGACTAGTCCACCCCAGGGCTGATGCAGGTTTGTTCTCAGCTATATATTTTCTAATACGCTGTCTAGTCAAGGTTTCAAAGGTTTCAAGCAATACAGCTTCCAACAGTCCCCTTGGGAGACTACTCTACAGTCTAACAGACCTCCTCATTACAATTCTGCTTAACATACAACAAATGGAGAGAAATGATGGTCTAACTTAACAACACTGCAAACTACTCTGCATTCTACAAAGGTCTGCTACGCTGAATCACACATTGAAAAAGAGCATCAGAGTTACCAGAAATTAATGCATGAGGCAATGAATTTGCTCAGAATTGCAGCACTTAGCAAGTGTTAAATGAAACTCGCTAATAAAATGACAGGTCACTTGGTAGCAATTAAAACTTTTGTTTTTTTAAGCATAC